TGATGTGAACTAGCTCGAACTTCGCTCAAACAGAGCGGAGCCTCAAGCGTTGCACAACGACCCTTTTTGGATATGAATTACTGCACAGGGTGGCAGGAGGGCGTGCGTGCTTGAGTTGGAGCGGAGCCCGAGCGGCCAAGCAACGAAACAGACCAGGACGATACAAACAACTGCATCGGTCTGTGATCCCCCCGATGGCCAGGCTCTACCTTCACCGCAGCTGAACCGACGCGTTTGCAGCGAACAAGCCCGAGCTTCGTTTTTCACGGAGCGGCGCCTTGACCGTTGCACACCGATCCCAACTTGCCCCTGCTGGCACCCGCTTCATGCCGAGATCCGTTTACTGTGAAGGCTTTCGGAGACCCTGGAGGTCCTCAAGGAACTTTACGAGCAAAACCATCTCGCCAGTTGCGGCGAAAGATGCGCATACGGGGTAGTGCGAGGGGGGGCGAGCGCGGAGTGCCCACAAGGGCCACCGTCGTCTGCGGGAATGCCGCGCGAAAAACCGAGGGCCCATCAATCATAGTGGCTCGCGCGATTACAACCGAACCTGCAAGGAGGCACGAGACAATGCCTAGCATCGCAATTTGTTCTAGATGCTCGAGTGCAGCGGAATGCGCGCGAGCGCTGTCAGACGGGAAAGCAGCCACCCACGGACAAGCTATGCTCAGGCATCTGCGGATTAGTCTGGCAAGCGAAGTGCTGAACTCACTCTCACTGAACCTCGGCACAATCAAGACGACCCCGCGAACGCAAAGGGAAGAGATCCAGCCCAAAAAACGGCGGAAGACGATGGGGTCAGCCAGAAGCGAACCATTCATCCACATGCTGTGCTCAGAGCTACTGGAACCATTGGCTCTCGCTATCTCTCCAGTGCCGAAGCCGACCTCCAGCAACGCTTGTCCGGGCGCCTGGCGGCAGACGCGGGCAAGTCCACGCAAAGCTGCATGAACCTCGGATCACTCTTGTAAGGGGAGCTCGGCATCAGCGGGGCCACCTGCTCATCGAGGATGGGCCCGATCTGGCCTTCTACCACCTCGGACCAAGCCGCGACGCGCTCGTCCACCTTCTCGAGCTCGGCGAGGTAGCGCACGCGCCTGGAATACCTAGTCGTACTTTGGGCGCTGGTGTGGCGCAGCCGCGCCTGCACCTCCTTCAAGCTCATGCGTTCAGCGGCGACCACGTGCCGCAGCTGGTGTGGGATCATGCCGGACGCCCGGGGTACCGGCGACAGGCGGCGGCCGGACTCGCTGTTGAAATCCGTTGCGTTGAATCACCAGATGTGCTCGCCAGCTGGCCGAACCGCGCGCGCCGCCGCGCTGTAGCGTCGCCGCGCAGCAGCACCCATTCCTCCTGGGCCAGCGTCTTGCCCTGCACGGATGTTCCCGCGTCCTGGCCCCGCCAGCGTCGCTGGCGTCACGTTCGCGAGGTCGCTGGGGAGCCGAATCATCCCGTCCCAAGCCTTAGCCAGCGCCCCCGCCCACTCGACGTCGCCATCCAGAGCCGCGATGCCGATCAGGGTCCGCGCGATGGGCTTGCCGACGGGCATCGTCGGGGTGCTCCGAGAGTGCACTCGAAAGCCTGATAGCGCGGCGCGAGCCAGAGGTAAGCCCTTGTGCTTCGGTCTCGGCACACTGGGCAGCCCGCGCTGTGCCGACGCCGGCAACCGTGAGCCCGTCTCCGCCAGCTCGCCGCCTCAGAAGAGCTTGTCCAAGTTGGCCGCCTGGCCTTCTCGGCAGCGGCCTCCGGGCCAAGGCTGACCCGCGCCGTGCCGACGTTGCGGGCGCCCGACGCGAAGGGCGCGGGCCCCGAGGTAGTAGTGCGTGGCCTCTTGTCGGAGGTGTTCCACTCCGACGGCGGCCAGCGAACGGCTATGGACACGTCGTGCGTGAAGCTGTAGCTGCAGACCTCAAGCTATGTCTGATTGAGCAGCGGCGATGCGGAGCGGCCAGTTTCAAGGCCCAACGCCAGCGAAAAAGTTTCATTCAACATGAGATGCAGCAGCCCTCGAATGCGTACACGTCGGTCGGAAGAAATAGGTAAAAGCATGAAGTAGGACGGCGGATTAAGTTGATTGGGTCCAGGCCCTCCCAGAGAATACCAAAACACAGCAAACGCATGCCGATTCTTGACGTAGGAAGGGTCTTGAAGTAGGTTGAGATCTGGGAATCCAACAATACCTACTTTCAACGACCGGCGTGTGTCATTCAACATGAGATGCAGCAGCCCTCCTCCTCCTCCTCCTCCTTTTCCGCCTCCTTTTCCTCCTCCTCCTCCTCCTCCTCATTCAGCATGAGATGCAGCAGCCCTCGAAGGCGCAAGGCTCGCATCCTGTGGCGGATGCCCAGGGGCAGGGCGCGCCCCTTCAGCCCCGGGGCGCTCTCGGGATGGGCCCGGCGCCCGAAGGCCACATCCTGCCAGGAGCCCACGGTCGAGGAGGAGGAGGAATAGGAACGAGGAGGAGGAGGAAGAGGGGGAGGAGGAGGGGGAGGAGGAGGAGGAGGAGGAGGAGGAGGAATAGGAACGAGGAGGAGGAGGAGGAGGAAGAGGGGGAGGAGGAGGAGGAGGAGGAGGAGGAGGAGGAGGAGGAGGAGGAGGAGGAGGAGGAGGAGGAGAACAGGGAGAGGATGAGGAGGACGTCTGAGTCGACGGTCGCGAAACCAGGCCGAGGACGGTTCCGAGAGGAGCTCTCGGCGGCGCCTGCGTCGTCGGCGTCGCCCTGGTGGGTGGGTGCGTTGACCGCGCGCTCGACGCCGTGCCGCCAGGGCCCGCGAACGCTAGCAATGTCCATCGCCAGGCTCTCGTCGACTCTCCGCTTCGCCACCCGGCGAGCTCCCGCTTGGGTCGAGGCCGCCTGCGCTGGCGCCCATGGAGTAGACCGCGCCGTCGACGGGGCGCTTCGCGCCGCAATGGGCGAACGGCGCTAAAGCAGCAGCGACGCGCAGCTCGCGGGCCACCTCGGGCCGCAAACGCCAGCGGCTGTCGCCAGCCTGCTCGATGAAGCGGTAGGTCGGCTGGAAGATGCAGAGGGGCGGCCGCCGCATCAACGCCGCCCAGTGGCCGACGAGACTCGTCAATTCCGAAACCGAGGCGAACCGCCGCGAACCCTGACATATCAGAGCCTGGCGGGTCTTCCGCATCCGCCATCACCCGAGCGAGATGCGCCCGCGCCCTCGGTCGAAGACCAGGCCCGAGAACTTCTGCTCGTGAGAGGTAGCCCCATACCCTTGCACTTGAAACCCGAGTCGTTGAGGGCCTCGTACGCGGATCCCCCACCCAGTACAATGTTTCCTGGCCCCGAAGGGAGCTCCACCGAAGGTTCCAGCGGCAAAAATCGCATTCATCTCCCCAACCCAGTGCAGCGCTTCGTGGCCCCATAGGATGCTCCACCAAAGGCCCCAGTGGCGCAGTTCGTATGCGTCTCCACCACCCGATACAATGTTTCCTCGCCCCATAGTGAGCTCCACCCGAGGTCCCAGTGGCAAAGTTCGCGTGCGTCTCCCCCACCCAGTACAGCGCTTCGTGACCCCATGGGGAGATCCACCAAAGGCCCCAGTGGCGCAGTTCGTATGCGTCTCCCCCAACCAGTACAGCGTTTAATGGCCCATAGGGAGCTCCACCGAAGGTCCCAGTGGCGGAGTTCGCATGCGCCTTGCCCACCCAGTAGAGCGCTTCGTGGCCCCATGGGGAGCCCAACCGAAGGCCCCAGTGGCAAAGCTCGCATGCCTCTCCCAAACCAGGACAACGTTTCGTGGCTCAAAGGGAGCTCCACAGAAGACGATACCCATAACTGCGGTACTCACAACTGCATGTGGTTGGGTGCTTCACCAGGCTAAATTTGCTGATAGCCACTCGCCTTTCCGAATACACGGTGAGTGAGTTTGTTGAGTTGCTGTTCACCTACGCGGCGATCTACGACGTAGCACTTTGCACTACGCTTGCACCGACGTCAACACCAACGGCTACGCTAACAGTGTGCGCATCCGCGCAGACCATCACTGGAGACGATACCACATCGCGATACACAACGTCGCTAGGCAAACGTCACCGGGCATCGCGAGTATGATGATTGTGATGGTGATTATGATGATGCTGCTGATGCTGATGAGGATGATGAAGATGTTGTTGATGATGATGCTGCTGGTGATGACGATGACGATGATGATGATGATGCTGATGATGATGATGATGATGATGATGATGATGATCATGATGATGCTGATGCTGCTGCTGATGATGATGCTGATGATGCTGCTGATGATGCTGCTGCTGCTGATGATGATGATGATGATGATGATGGTGATGATGATGATGATGATGATGATGATGATGATGATGATGATGATGATGCTGATGCTGATGATGATGATGATGATGATGATGATGATGATGATGATGATGATGATGATGATGATGATGATGGCGACGATGCCGATGATGAAACACGCGCATTCGCAGTCGGGCTTTCCGGATATCTAGCCCTCTCCTAATATTTGAGAAGGGACTCCTCGTCGTATTGTTTGTTGGTGCCCATATCTTCCATCACATGTTGTGCCATCTGCCATATAGTGCCAGAGGAGAGACGGGGAAAGGAGGGAGAGAGAAGGGAAAAGGAAAACAAGAGGGGGGGGGCAAGAGGACGGACGGAGAAGAAAGGATGACGTCGTTGGTGTGGCGCCTCCGGGGGGGGGGGGAGGAGGGAGGGAAGGAGTCAGGAGGCAACTCCTTGGAGGCCTTCGTGAGAATGGACCCAAATCTGTTGAGCCCGCTGTTGGGGGCCAGGAAGCCCCGAGCAATCCATTAGAGCCAAGCCTGGAAGGCTTGTGTCCCGGCAGGGGGTGCAAGCTCACCCGCCTGTGGCACGACATACCTGCCCTACGGAGAAGACGGGCGAGATCGTCGGGGACCCGAACGCGGCTGACGAGCTGGGATGGATGGTGAAACACATGGTGAAGCATGCGGCACAGGCTTATGTTCGGCAAAAAGAAAGAGAGTGGGCACACATGTGGACCAACCATTGCAGTCACTCAAACATCCGCTCACCATGTCAATCTGACAGCTAAACCACCCATAACTACAAGTGGCGACTAGCTGGGCCGCGAAGACGAATGCTACTCAAAACGAGGTATCGAAACAACCAACAGATCTTGTCCGGCCTAGGCTCAAACAAGGCTGCTTTACTTCGACAACCAATCACACTGGTACCACTTAAACAGATGTCAATGAGATGCTACAACATGCTGTGCCCATCAAGCAGACTCCCTCATGCTTACTCAGGCGACCGATTTGCCAAGAGAGGAGAAACACACCCGCGTGTAAGAGCAGCAATGCCGCAACGGGCACCCAGTCGGTGATCCCGTTTTCAGGTAGCAATTCCTTGCCCAATCGCTATGAGGATGAATATTCCCCCCCCCCTCACCCGCTTCTTTCTATCCTCCTCCCCACTCCCTCGTCCTAGCCCCGCCAGCAGTACCCCTACACAATCAAATCGACTGCTCCTGGAGGAGGAGGAGGAGGAGGAGGAGGAGGAGGAGAAGGAGGAGAAGGAGGAGGAGGGGGAGGACGAGGAGGAGGAGGAGGAGGAGGAGGAGGAGGAGGAGGAGGAGGAGGAGGAGGAGGAGGGGGAGGAGGCGGAGGAGGAGGAGGAGGAGGAGGAGTAGGAGGAGGAGGAGGAGGCGGAGGAGGAGGAAGAGGAGAGAGGACCTAAACGCACAGATTCTCCCCTGCTCGCCTCCCGGGGGCGGGGCGCCGGCCAGCCACCCCTGGTATTGCGCTGCTCTTCACATCCTGTGACTGCCTCTGCGGTTTCCGCGCAGGCGGTCGTCGGAACCGATCTCCGACTGGGGGCGAAGCACGGCAGGATCCCAAAAAGCACGCAGCCGCTGGAAAGAGTACAGTGGAGGCCAGTCCACAAGAAGCCGTCCACAAGAAACCCGACCCTGAGACCCCAGGACATCCATTGATTTCTGGTGTTGGAGCGTCACGCTTTCCATCGCACAAGCATCGAAACCCAGAGCACCCCACAAGAAGGGCGTTTCTTGGCATGGGTTTCCACTGCAGGAGCGCAACGGGCTCCGCGGGAAGCCCGCCAGACAACATATATGCCCCGCGGCTGCCGCACCGAGGAGGGCAGGCACGACGGACAGAGCAAGGCAGACAAGACGACCGTCGTAGTGGGGCCTGGGCCAGACGGACATCCCTCAGGAGCACACGGGCCTCCGTCGGCCAAAGCACGAGCAGAACATCCAAGGCTATACCCACCCCCAGGATGCACAGTCACATCCAACAAAACACGAAAAACATGAGGGTGCCGTCCCAGAACCGACCTCGAATTTGGACCTCGGCCCGACTGTACGACCAAGGAGACGAGGCGCGTGCAGGCGTGTGCTTCTCGAGGCCGCGGCGGCCAGGGATCGGAGGGTGGGGGGGCGAGAGCGCAGCGGTCCCCGACTGGGAACGTGGCTGCGGCTTCGGCAGCGTGCCGTGCTAGGTGAGCGCTAACAGGGGTCACGTCGACCCCTATCTTTATGTTGCTCCCATCGTACTTACGGACCACATCCCAGAAATAATTCCGAGCTCCCAGAAAAGGAGCGAAAGAGTGTCGAAAGAGTGTCGAAACAGTGTCTCCCAGGGCCCGACACGTGAAAGCCCTCGAGTTTTGGGGTGCGCTCGAAATTCTTTCTGGTGATCAAGGCTAAAATAGGTTGGAACATCATAACCCTATCCCCGGCTTCGCGGGGCTTTCGGATTGGCCAGAAGTTTGGGCCCCAACCCTGGGATATATGGGGGCGGCGGATGGTTCCTGTGGCAACTCATGGGGGCCTCCCATGCCATCTCTTGGTGGCTCTCGCGAATCGGCGCCAATCGACGCGAATGCACTCTAAAGACGGAATTGCGGAGGTCTGCGAGGCTCCCATGATGTGCTACCGACTGAAAGTGAGGGGGCGACGATATTTCAACTCAAGCTTGGGCCAAATCCGGCAAACGACATTTCTCCGTATCTCAATGGGTTGTCCGATGCAATGTCCCGTTCTTGCCCCGTGGTTGTTCCGTGCATTTTGGGTTGAGCTGCCCCGTGGTTTTCCCGTGGGTGGTCCCGTGGTTTGTCCAATGACTTGTCCTGTGGGGTGTCCCGTGGTTGCCCCTTGAAGTATGCAATGGTTGTGATCCATGGCTTGTCCCGTGGGATTTTCCGCGGTTGTCCATTCATTTTCCCGTTCGTTGTCCCGTTGGTTCTCCCGTGGGTTGCCCCGTGGGTGTCCCTTGAAGTGGCCCGTCGTGTTCTCGTGGGTTGTCCTGTGGTTGTCACGCAAAGTGTCTGGCAACTGTCCCGAGGCATATGCAAGTCGGAATACATATGCAGTTGCGAACGACATGTAATCGACATGCGAATCGAACTACACGTCGCCATGCAAATCCAACTACACTCCAAATTGCAATCGACATGCACATCTACATGGAAGTCGGCATGCACATCGAAATCCATATCAGACTTCAATCGGCATGCAAGCAGACATGCGTACACAACGTCAAATGAATACGCAAGCGCAATTCACATCGGCATTGACATGCAATTACATATCGTAATGCAATTCGGAATGAACGTCGCGAAATGCAAATCGCTATGGAAGTCTGAATTCGAATCGGCATGCCCATTGAAATGCAACTTTACTGGAACATCGACATGCCATTGAACATGCGCACCAACGTGCACTCAACATGTACTTCGACATGAAATTCGCCGTTCGAATAAACATTCAATCGAAGTGTAAGGGATGGAAGTGAACATCAAAATGATTTCGGCAAGCACAAATCAAAGCAACTTGTCCCTACTTATCGACCGAATGATGGGTGGTGAGGTCAATCTTTCAAATAATTGCGCTGCCATGCTGTCCGACATGGGCCGAAAGAGCCGTGGGGGCACGCGCTACGCACGAGTGCTGCCACAACGAGATGTAGAAGGGAGAGAGGTGGACGACAGCACGAACGGCAAGGTGGGGGTGATGGGGGGGAGGAGGAGGAGGAGGAGTAGGAGGAGGAGGAGGAGGAGGAGGAGGAGGAGGATGAGGAGGAGGAGGAAGAAGAGTAGGTGGAGGAGGAGGAGGAGAAGGAAGAGAAGGAACAGGAGGAGGAGGAGGAGGAGGAGGACGAGGAGGAGTTTGGGAGGAGGACGAGGACGAGGACGAGGACGAGGAGGAGGAGGACGAGGACGAGGAGGAGGAAGAGGAGCAGGAGGAGATCACAACAAGCGCCCCAGCGAGCTCAACCAGTGGATGCCACGCCCAGTGCTGCACAATTCGAGCCTGGAGCTAGCAGGGCTGGGCACGGCGCGCCTCGAACGAGGGAGGAACAGGCCGCTAAGCTCGGGCCCTTCGGGAGCACCACCAATCTCCCCTCCTCTTAGACGCAGCGAGGACGAAGATAGAATCGGGTGAGGATAAGTCGAAAATCTTTGAGATCCAGCGGATCTGGGGCCCCGCAAGTCACAGAAAAATCCTAGACACCTCCTTTCCTCCTCCAGCCCCTCCTCGTGCTCCTGACCTTCCTCATCCTATTCCTCATCATCATCATACTTCTTGTTCTTTCTACCTCCCTCTGCCAGCTCTTACCTCATGCTACGTCCTCTTGTGGACATCTTGTCGCCCTGATGGGGCCCCCTCCTGTTTCTGAGGGGATGCATCGGGCGCCGCGGTCTTCTCAGAGCGTTCCGGAAAGCTCTGGAACGGATTTGTCTTATCTTTTTATCAACGCAGCGGACACTGTGAACTCCACTGTCGAGCACTGCAAAATACGACAACATGGCTGCACCGCAGCGTGCGACGGAGGGGGGCGACTGACCGTCACCGAACCGCACGCCTCCGCATGCAGCATTCTCCAGCTGAAGCCGAGCGGAGCCCGCCGAGCGGGGCCGAGCTGAAGTGGCCGGCCGGGTAAATGTCACCACACGCAAACGAGGAGGAGGAGGAGGAGGAAGAGGAGGAGGAGGAAGAGGAGGAGGAAGACGAGGAGGAGGAGGGGGGAGCGGCAGACCGGACAACGGCGTTGCGCGCGCACCCCCACGGCCCAAACGACCATTCATATACTACGGCACGGCACGGATTTATCCTCGTCCTAGCCCCGCCCGACCTTCTCTCTCGGAGGTCTCCAGAGGTCCTGGGAGTGCTCGGAGGCCTCTGGAGGCCCAGCACATACAGAAAAGGTCCAAGGAACTCGAGCCTCGACCCTCGAGCCTCGATCCTCAAGCATCGACCCTTCGTACGCTCCTCTCTCCCTCCTCCAGCCTTTCCTTCCTTCCTCCTACCATTCCTAATGACGGCCGTCCACGCCTCCTTCCACGCTCCCAGGTAGGGCTGATGAAGGCCCCAGCTGGAGCAATCCTTCCCCAAGGGGAGCGACCGCTGTTCGGGCCTGGGCCCAGCAATGTTCGCCAGCTCCCAGCCACGCTTCGGTGGACGCCCCCCCCCCCCCCCCCCTACACCTCCCCATCCTGGTCCTCCTCCTGTAATTACTCTCTTCATCTTATTATTATTCCTCCTCATCTTCCTCCTAACTTACCCCCTCCCTCCTACCCCGCTCCCATGCCTGCCGTCCACCCCTGCCTCCTACCTCGCCGCCGCCCATCCCTACCTCCCACCACCTGCCGTCATCGACCCTGCAGTCCGTCCCCATCTCCTGCGTCCTCCTCCGCCTCCCTGCCTCCTGCCTGCCCCCATGCCTCCCTCGCCGCTCCTCCCCGCCTCCTCCCCCGCTCCCACCTTTCTGTCTCTGCCCTGCCCCTCCCCGTGCCACTCCTCCTCCCTCTCCTCCTCCTGCCCCGTCCTCCTTATCCGCCGCCTTCGCCTCTCCCTCTGTCTCCGCCCCGCCTCAGAATCCTCCTCGCCCACCTCCTGCCTTCTCGTCCTCCTCCTCTCTCCCTCCCTGCTGGCTCCTCGCCCCTCCTCCCTCTTTCCTCCGCTTTCTTCTGCCCTTCCTCGTCATCCTGCCTCCTCCTCATCCTCATCCTCTGCCTCATCGTTCCCTTCCTCATCGTCCTGATTCCTCCCCATCCTCATCCTCATCCACTGCCTCATCGCTCCTCTTCCTCCTGTCGTCCTCAGCCTCCTGCTTTCTCTCGCGAGCTCACCTTCCATAGCCACAACTTCGCCCTTCCGTGAGGGCTGCCTGAGTGTTTCGCCCGATGCTGCCTCACCGTGTGCATCGCGAAGCTGGAAAAAGTGGAGATTGGAACGTCAGTGAAACATGGAAGTGGGAATCAATGAACATGAAAGTGGCCAGGGCTGGAAACACTGGCAGTGGGCGAAGCGAGCCCGAAATGGTAGGGATGCGGTCAACAAGGCTGGAAGAAACAAAGGGAAACCGGCCAGGGCTGAAAAGAGTGGGAGGGCTGGCCCCCGTCACTTTTTCCAGCTTCCATGTGCATCATGAAGCTTGCAACTTCGAGCAACTACATGGATTTGGGGTCAATCGTTCTTTAACCAGCCTTTCGTCCTGGCGACGCGCACACGTGCATAATCCTGCCCAACAATTACGCGGATGGAGGTCGAGTATGTGTCACAATGAGGCTCTCGCCTTCGCGCCACGCACACTAGTCTGAAACACATCCACCGCTGACATGGATGAAAGGCGGTCCCTTTTCACAAAAAGGTTCTCGCCAAAGTCTCCATCATCACGCGATACCGTAAGCACAAACTTGTACAATAGTTACACTGGTGAGGGGCGGCTCCTTTTCGGAATCTTGCTCTCGCTTGAGCCCTCGCTCGGCTTTCTTTGGCGGCGCGCGCAGGGGGCAGGGGGAAGGGGGAAGGCTTCTTAGAAAGAGGCTGACTCTTGAGGGCGCTGGCCCTGCATCTACAGACAAGGCCCGCGCCTTCTGAGAAGCAGGAATGCTTCTAAGAAGCCTTGCCCAGAACATCCTTCAAGAACATGAGGCCCTCCTGTGGCCAAGACACCCCGAACCAGAAGATCGCCGAGAATAGCCCTGCCCAGAATGCACAAGAACGTCCAACAAACCCGAAGACCATTGGGCGACCCTCCCCGAACCGACCTCGATCTTACACTTCGGTCCGGCCGTACCCCCCTCCGCCTTGCCATCGCTCGGACGTCCCTTCCCCGTGCATGTCTCGGTTTCGCACGTGCTGTTTTCCCAGATGACCGAGATGCTCCTCGGTGGCCCTCGCCGAACAAAAAAAAAACACACGTCCGAGCGATGCCAAGCTGCGCGTGGCCAGCGAAGTGTACTGTGCAATCCTTACGCGGGTGGGCGGCAGTCCCCTGTCGATGCGGCGCCGCCGCGGGGCACCCCCGCGAGCTGCACGAGCCCGACCCCGTCGCACTCCCGGGGCTCCGCACGTTGGAGGGCCCAAGGCACGAGAACCTCCTTCAAGAGCAGGAGACCCTCCGCCGGCCATCCATTCAAGAACACCCCTCGAGAACACCCGCCGAGCACGAAGAACAGCAGGGTACGCAACCCGAGCCGACCTCGATCTTATACCTCGGTCCGACCCTACAGTAGGGGCCCGACCACACGAAGCCTTCCACGAGAAACCCAGCCCTGAGACCCTAGGGCGTCCATCGATTTTTGGTGTGGGGGCGTCGCGCTTTCCATCACAAAACAATCGAAACCCAGGAAACCCAGGGCACCCTGGAGGCGAGCAGGTGCTTTTTGGCATGGGTCTCCGCTGTATCACGATTTTTGGGGCCAGTGGAAGGAGACTTGGAACGGGAGAGTGTGTTGCGTCATCGCCGATACATCTTGCTCTGGTCCTCTCCCTCATCCTCATCCCTTCCTCTTCCTGGCACCCCCTCCTGCTTCCTCCTCATTGACCTCCTCGTCCTTATCTTCTCCTCCTCCTCCATCCTCCTCCTGCTCCTCCTCCTCCTCCTCTACCTCCTCCTCCTCTTTTTCCTCCTCTTCCTCCTCCTCCTCCTCCTCCTCCTCGGTCCTGTACCACGCGGGCCCCGCCGATTCGTTGCCGACCCAGGAGTAGTGGGTGCAGCCGTCGAGGAGGAGGCATGCCCCTTCCGGGGTGGAGGGGGGGGGGGCGGCCTCAGGGCGGGCGCGGTGGACGAAAGGAGAGGGACGACTCGAGGATCGAGGAGGGATGCTCGAGGCTCGAGGCTCGAGGATCGCGGTTCGAAGATCGAGGCTCGACGACGCTTCCTGCTTTCTTTCCTGAGCCTCCCAGAGGCCTCCGAGAGGGAGGGGGAGCGAAGGGGGGGAGCGGGGAGGGGGGTCGCGCGCCAGACCGGAGGAGCTAGAGGAAGTGAGAAACAGGCCCAGACTCCCGACGTCACGATTTTGTTTTCATGACGTGGACCCCCCAGAAGTCTCGACGCATTCCCCGGGAAACGAGGTTTCATCATGCGGCGTTTTCTGACAGCCCCGGGGCCCAGCGAGGGTCCGGCCGAAAATTGGCGCGAAAACCTCGCGTCGTGTTTTTTGTCGCGACCCGAGGGGGTTTGGGAACGGCGAGGGACGGCGAGGGTCGGGGGAGGGGGGT